CATCGCTCTTAGGTTGGAGGCCATCGCTCTTAGGTTGGAGGCCATCGTTCTTAGGTTGGAGGCCATCGCTCTTAGGTTGGAGGCCATCCCTCTTGGGTTGGAGGGCATCGCTACTAGGCTGGAGGCCATCGCTATTGAGCAGCGTCAAATGCCTCTCACAAACCGCTTGAACGAACTTGTAAACTCCAACTTGCCTGCGAAGCCAAAACTGCAGTCGTGGAAGCTTGCAGAAGCCACCGCGTAAGTATATTAGGTAAAATTCACCACCGCTGAAGCTTTGCGGAAGTGCACATGTTATTTTCTTGACAATAATAAATGCCTCTATTTATATAGTACTAAGATGTACTAAGGAGACCTATCTAACCTGTGAGCACCTGAGAAATACATCGCGGAAGTGCCATGGAAGAGGATTTCAACCAAACATGGCCCGCGGAAGCCAAAACGCAGGTCGTTGGGGGAAGCAAATCATGAGCATAACACATCGTAGACCAGTTTTTGACACTGCTCATCAGGCTCGAGGCCAACACTATTCGGCTCCATATTGAAGATTTATCCATGTCCAGTCAATGCAACCAATGTGCCCAGAGCTCTTCCCAGCACCTTTCTGCAACAAACATGTGCCAGGAGCCATTGACGCACGCCGCCTTTGAGCAGATGTGCTGTAGCTGCTTGGCCCAGCAAGGATGAATTTCTATCAGCAAATAACTCAATTTCCTGCCTTGACGTTTCTCAACAACAAATTTGATCCTTGACTACATTTGATTCAGTTGCCTTTCTCTTGTGACCGTTAAGAAGATATATCAAGATCTGTATGTAACCATGAGACCACGGGATCCAGGGCAAACGTGGAAAAACGTGGTACTTGTAGGTCAGCAACTCCCAGCAAGAGGAACTCCTGGTTTTTGCTGCTTGGAGCCAGATGGCAGGCCACGATGTGGACGTTCCCTGACGCACGAAGAGCGCTCGGACGTCGTTTTCGAGCGTCGGACAGCATCGGAGGGTACACTATATTTCCAAGATCGTTGGAGCGAGGAGCGACAGGTCCTGTGGGATTTGACCATGTGGTGAAGCTTTTCGCATACATACACGCATGGTAAGCTGCGAAGGATTAGAGTTGGACATTGTGATGAGCATGGACCCATGCATTCCAAAGTTCGGAGCATTCCCTCATCTAGGGAAGACTGCAGGGGGAAAGGAGTTGAGAGACTGGCAATACCCTACTTGAAGAGGACCTGAGGGAGAATCATTAATATATTGGGCTGTGGACATTGGCATGCATGTAAAGAAATGCTTTTATAGTGCTCTATGGCAATAAACGACCAACATCGCTCGCTTTTACAATCTTCTCGCTTTTGGGCCTTTCCCTCCACTTCTAGCACCGCCACACAGGAAACTGTTTTCCCAAAAGCGGCAAGACTCATGACGTCAGATCGTTTTGGAGACGCTTCACCGCTTTCCCCGTGAAAGAATCAACTGAAATAGAGCATCAATCAAGAGAATCAAGAGAGCAACTAGGAGAAACACATATAAAAACAACAATATGTATATACCAAAGTTACAACCATAATGAACGCGTTGTGCACATTGGAAAGGCGAAGGTCCTGGTATAGTTGGGATACCGCAGCTTTGCTTTCTTCTTGCCCCTATGGTCAAGTAGTCAGGGGGAGAAGGGGTGACTAGAGCCACAAGTGAAAAAGTGGCCCTTGGCAGAGTCACGACCCAGCTTTCTTAGACAGCCACTGTGACGGTCTTTGCACAAAGATAAAGTGAAATGCATGATTTTGTGTCGCTTGAATATTGAAAAGCGATGAATTTGCACCGCGCTGTCTTTCATCAACTACGTATGATAAACTATCAACCAAGTTTGCTCAAATGTCCTGTCCGGTGATGAGGTTGCGACAATTGCGAAGTTGCAGAGTCTCAGCGGCATCCAGCAGTATGGTAGTTGCACGGAAGATTCGTGCCGCATGTTGCACGGCATGTTCGTCCTTTCTCGGACTTGCTTGGAAAATGATGGGTTTGTCGGCGCTGATTTGAACCTTGCTTTGACCTGCTTGATTCTTGTGACACTCAATCCTCTTGTTTTCGCTTTTCGCCGAGGCTGTGCAATCCTGCAAGGTGCAGCTTGAGAACGTGGGCCGCTCGACCTAAGTTCCGTTGGGCGCAATCGTTTGAGGCATTCAGGTACTTTTGACCACTCGCCTGGCGCAAATATAGGCAAAATATGGTAAAAGACTCCACTCTTTGCCTTCCTAATCATGTCTTTTTGTTGAGGTGAGGAGCTAAGGCAACTTTGCAGCACTCAGGCTTTCTTACATACGTGCATATTATTTGTCATTTATTATCATTGACTGAAATTGGTGCTCCGATAGTTTCAGATAGATACCCGGCGTATAGATGCTACAGAGACAACACTCACAAACCGACTGCCCAGAAAGACGGGCTCACGAGCAGGACAAATAGAGTGCAGGGTCTATAGAGTTCTGTAGAGTTCCACGTGTTTCATACAGACGCTGTCAGATTTAGTATGTTTGACCACATTTGATGCATGGAAGCTTCTAGAGACCTTCCGCTGTTGTTTTTGGCTTCAAAGCCGCCTGGTCTCATATTGACCGCCTGGCCGTGCCCTGTTTGCAAAAGGGAGGTTGTGGCTGACCGGACCCAAACGGGTCGCATACCTTCAAGGCAGAAGGATCAGGGCAAGGTATTGAACAGTATTAAAAACTTCATAAAGTTCATTTATATGCATTACCTTCCATGCACTAGTTTTTCTGTGCTTTTAGTTTTGACTCACGTCACAAAAAAGCAGTCCTCGCGAGCAAGTCAATTCTGCGGCCGCAGATACCCACTAGTGGCCAATGGTTTTGATCAGTCCAGCTTGCGTTCCGACTCAAAAGCCCTGAGATGCCATTTGTTTCGTGGCCCATCCTGAGATGGAGCACCTCAGCATTGCCAAGCATCGTCTGGGAGATGCGCTCCGAAGCACTGTGAATGCCTTCACCAGTGCAAGTGGAGAGTCGAAGTTCCTGGAGAGCGGAACGCAACTTGGGCAACAAAAGATGCCATTTGAGGTGTCCTTTTTGGGTCAATTATGACAGATTCTTAGGCCATATTGAAAAGCCCCGAGGCTGACACCTGAGGAGTTCGTGGAAGCAGGAGATCAGCTCCTTGGGAACTGTCTTAGACTTGAAGCCTGAAGACATCTGAAGACTGAAACCTGAAGAATGGCTGATGGAGAAGGTCAATTCATCCAAGATCATCCAAGGTTGACCTTCAAATTCCCCACATGGCGATGGGAAGCTGGTGATGCAAACCTGCGAGCGAGTTATTTGCCACAGGAGCAGCAGTACTTGATCACCAGGAGCCAACTTGTTTGATAAACCCAAAAACTTTTGGATCCTGCAATGAGATCTCACAACCTTGCAGAATCCTTTTGGATCCTTTGTCGTTAATCTTTTTCGGATCGCAGGAACGTACCTTGCAGAGACCGAGTCAGAGCACCTTGGAGTTGCTGTCGTGACAGACCGTGTTCGCCTGACCAGTCCACCATGTAGCGAACGACCTAATTCGGTCGGTCAACCGGTCAGTATCATCCTGGTGCCATGACCCACAGCCATGTCTACAGATACTGTACACATGCCGGGGAATAAACCATCAATAAACTTCCTTGGGTAGGGCTCTCCAACAATGTTGTTGACAAGTTGTTGACCATTCAATCATATGAATCATATGAATCATATTGCAAACATGCAGCTTCCAGCAGGTCTCGAATTCTAAGCCTGTTCCAGAGACGAAGAGCACACTGTCATGACTCTTGCTGTACAGGGATGTCCATCCCATCATATCTTTTAAGTTTGATGGTGTGCCACATGGATGGCCTGTTCGCCATGCCACATCCTATATCACATCCATCCGATCGGAAGTTTCAGGCACTGGATTCCGCTTTGGACCAGATCAAGACGGAGGACCTGGCTGCCAGGGCGCTTGTTTGGAGTCTCGACCCAAGTCTTACCCAAACCGACCCAAGTTCTGTTGTGTAACGCTATGAATGATTAAGAGACTTACAATATGTTTTCGGTTACGTACACTTGGACCTGAGAAACAGCAAGAATTGCCGTACGCGTGCTTTCGTTCGGATGTCTCATTCACTTGGGTGGAGGTGTTTACAGCGATACGGTGACTCGCAAAAGAGCAATCCTATTGACATCTGTGCACAGATGAGTCACAGATTCGCTTCTACACAACCCTACAGGAAAGCCGCGTTGCTATTTTTGGGCAAGCATTGACACCAGTCAACATGCAACCTAACATGTGATCCCCATCACTTGCGCACCCGTACATGGTGTCGTCAAAGAGACTGTATACGCATCGTGATAGTGTGCGGCTTCCTTAAATCGAGTGCTGGCATCACTTACTATGCACAAAGCCACAGGTACCCCCAAAGGCAGGTATGAGTTGTGATTGATGGCTCAGCTCTTTCTGCCGCTTTGTCGCTGCGGGTGAGCACCAGGTACCTTAAACAAAAAAGCCGCCTTGAAAGCTGTTGACCGCGAACGGCGGACGGGTGGTACCCCTGGCTGTGGATTTGCAGGACGACTGGTTATTGCCACCAGAAGTGTCCACATCAGGTGCTTCCAAGGACTGCCTGCAGGATGTGGATGATTTGGCTAGTCCAAAGGAAGGTCACTCGGAATGACGGCAGGTCTTGAAATGATGTCCATACTCATGTCCTACATCGTTTGAAGACCTGATGTTCCAGTTCTTGAACTGACACGCACGATTTTTGCCTTTGGCAAGCAAAAGGACACCCTGTGATTTGCTGAGTAATTATGGAAGAACGGGTCTCCGCTGAGGCAAAGCAGAAGTCGGTCCAGTTCTGAATTTCAATGCAGACGACGACTTCTTGGGAGATGGCGCCAAGGCCTCAAACCTCCCAGACTTCAGTGATTTGGACAAACAGCTGCAAGAGGAGGCAGAGCTGGGCAGATCGTTGGGATCGATCGATGAGTTTTGCCAAAAAAGGGTTCCGTGTTTTGTGATGTTTTGTGCCCAGGCACGGATTACGGGCAACAGGTTTACTTTGAGACCATAGGATTCCATGAGGTTTGTGATGGTTTTCGCGACTGATTTTTGCCCGATTTCTCTAAAGGACGGCTATCCAGCTGCCTCAGCACCCGCAGCACCAGCTTCTGTCATTGTGGCAGAGGCGCCAGATGCGAACATCCTCAAAACTCGAACCTACGACGCTGGAGTCAGACAGAGTGACAGTGACAGGGAAGAAAGGGCAAGAGACTCAAAACATCTATAATGGAAGAGTGTGAGAACATGCAAGCACTTGTGGACTCACTTGTTCCCAACGACTTGATCCTGTTCATTAGAATCGACACTTGCAATAATGAATTGAAGGATGTACCTAAGGTCATTATTTGGGGGTGAGGTGGGACTAGTCTTCGATGACCGCCGGCCCTAGCTCCCAAGCCGCTTGTGGCACACCCTGAAATCACCAGAATTTCCGGTCCAAGACCTACACAGTCAACGCATCTCAGGACTTGTCCATCACCTATGACAAGTACTACAGAACGCCGAGACTGTGGTTATTCGGTTACAACGAGAACGGGGACCCGTTGACACCAGAGGAAGTCTACGAGGATGTACTCAGTGACTACAAGTCCAGGACAGTGACCGTAGATCCTCATCCCTTGACGGGAACGCCAACAGTGTCAATCCATCCATGTCAGCATGCACAAGTAATGAAGAAGGTCATCGATGACTGGATAGAGCAAGGCCTCACTCCCAGGCATGACCTCGCATCTCGGTGGCAGAGAATAGTAATGCATTAGACATAGAGACCGTCATCAAAAAACAGCTGCAGATATCATCACCGAATGCAATCATTTCATATCATTTCATATGGGCCTGGGTTAGTATTAAAATAGGGAGACATCCCCAAAGACCAGTCTACCCATTTGGTTGGAGACCACCCTATCAAAATACACACCCAATCTCATTTCTCCGACAGTGGTCTACCAGCCTGGCTTTTTCGAGCTCTACCAGAGCTCTACCAGTCTGCAGGCATTGTTTGTTTTCCTGAAGTTTATCTCAAGCGTCGTGCCCACCATCAATTACGACTTCACCATGGAGATCGAGTTCTGAGCGACCGGCAAGGCTCGACCCGTTTCGCTAAGAGAGGTCGACCTTGCCAACACGGTGCCTCTGGCAGTGGCTGGCCATGCCACATTGTGCATAGTAACGGCATAGAATGCATTGATCCTTTTGGACCATTTGAATTTGACTCGGCCCGCGCTTGGACGAAGAGTCTGACATAAGTACAGGAAGTTCAAACGCGGAAATTGAAGCGTTAAAACGTGTGTTGCCAGTCGTGTCGTCAATGCGGATCTCGATGGCGTTTGACCAACTTTCTCTTTGCAGATCCGAGAACTAGGGAGTTCTCACCATGCCGTAAGCTTCTCACCAAGGCAATTGCTTCAACACTTGGTGAATGGTGGCCGAAAGGGGCGCTGTGCACTGGTGACAACACTTAGGACTGGTCACCGGTGTTGGGTTGATTGGGCTGGCTGCTCTCCATCGTTGCACTTCTTCCTTATGCTGACAGGAGAACATGCCCTCGAATGTCCAATGAAGATTGGCAGCTTGGCCTGCAGCATGGTGACCTTTTCCCTCGCCAATCACAATTTTTACTTTTTTAATTGATTTGTTTGCGTTACATCACATGACCTGTATAAGCTTGCCATTACTCTGGAGGAACCTTGCACAAATATGGCACGTATTTTTACAGAATGGGTGTTATAATAGGGTGTGCTTTCCGCGGTGTTTCCACAAAATGACGGTTTGAACACACTTCTTCTTCTTCTTCTTCTTGCGATTGCCGAAGGCGGTCGCCTGTGGCCGCACATGCACCGAATTAACACAAGCGATTGTGGAAAGCAGGGCCTCGCCCAGCTGAAGCATCAGCTGAACTTTGGAGCCCCTGTTTCCAAGCAACCAAATCAACATTGGATGCGAGACTGCACAGGCCTACATCCTAGGAAAAGTCGAGCAAGAGGCCAACAGCAAACAAAAGGTGGGCTTGTGCACATACGAGCTGAGTACGGTCCACTTACCAAGCGCTCACACCAAGAAAATCGGGAACAGCTTCTCAGCTGACCCGCCGCAGTCAGGATTGGAAAGCAGGCGCGGGAATTCAAGTCACATTTCAAACGTGCCACAGCATTCCTGCGGGCGCGCGCGCAGGCCATCACATTGGCACCTCCTACGCCCTGCGCATTTGCACAGCTCTCCTCGCATGTACTTCAGGTAGTCACCGAAGCTTTGTAGGGCCTTTCGAAAGCCACCACTCAAGACACTCTCACTGCAACGTCTTCTCTCTTTGCCCTGCATGTACTTCAGGCAGTCTTCGAGGCTCTGTAATGTAAGGTCATTCGAACGCCACCATTCCAGGTACTTTCACTGCAACTGCTTGCTTCTTTGTCTTGCATGTGCCAGGTAGTCACCGAAGCTTTGTAGGGCCATTGGAAAGCTACCATTCAAGACGCTCTCACTGCAACGTCTTCTCTCCTTGTCCTGCATGTACTTCAGGTAGTCTCCGAAGCTTTGTAGGGTCATTCGAACGCCACCATTCAAGGTAGTTTCGCTGCAACTGCTTGTTTCTTTGCCCTGCCTGTGCTTCAGGTAGTCTCCGAAGCTCTGTAGGGTCATTTGGAAGCCACTATTCCAGGTACTTTCACTGCAACTGCTTGTCTCTTTGCCCTGCATGTGCTTCAGGTAGTGTCCGAAGCGTTGCAGGGTCATTTACTGTAATTTGAAAGCCACCATTCAAGGTGACTAAGAAAGTGCAGAACCAGCGTGGCAAAAGGCGTGGCATACAGGCCACTGGGGCACGCGAGTTGTTCTAATCTGCTGCGCTAGCAATCTCGAGCCCTTGTTTGAACACACACAGAAACAAAAACCTTTACAAACTTGCTTCAAATAGGCAAGCAAAAACATTAAAAAACACTAAAAAAGTTGAAGAACACATGTTCTTTAAAGTGGATCCCCCAATGCTTGTTCTACACTGTATTAGCAAGAAATACACATTTATTATGTACTGTTACTGGTTGTTATAAAAATGCTTAAAAATGTTATAACATATACGGATGAAGCAGCATGGCTGCGTTGAAATGCAGAGAGGGAAATCAATATGTCTTCACCATCAGTTTTTGATGTCAATGATGCAGTGTGTGTGTGGTAGGTGAGATGAGGAACCAAAAGCACACCAAAGAGTAGTTAAGATACTAAGTTTGCAAGAAGAAAGCAAAAACAACCCAAGAACACAATTTTTGTTTGCTTTCATTAACTTTCCATCGCCCTCCCCCCGGGAGCCGGAGAGGCAAACTGATCCGTCAGCTCGGAACCCTTTGCTCGGTATGTGCAAACAATAAACAAACTCCGTTTGAACCCTTGTTACTAGTAGCGATGCATTTGTTGATTATTAACATCTCAACATTTTTGCCTGTCGACCTATGTCATATGTGCCCAAGAATATGAACCATGAATAACGCTCATAAATTTAAAGGTGAAGATTCTGAAAATATGTGAAAATACTTGGCACTGGTGTGTGGATTAATGTGTGCAATGGTGTATGCCTCAAACACCGTTTTTAAATCAGTAATACAGAATGCCGATGTTGAATCTATCATTTGCAGTTGCAATCACCCACAACTATGCGTTTTTTGTGTCCAGGTTCGCTGGATTGGCGCACATAATCACAGCATTTTTTGTGGACAGGTTAAAACCGTTTAAACGTTCCGAAGGTGTTAGACCACAAGTCACGAGGTCTCTCGTTTTGGTCACCTTTGTGCCTCATAATCAAGCAGTCTCTCACCTTTAAGTCTTCTTCAAACACTTCCTGACATTGATGTACTGTAGTCGCACTTGTAGTTTGTGGAGGCATCGCATTCTGGACTTCGCGTTGCACAAGGACTTGGTGCAGTTGGACATCCTTCAAGGAAGGGATGAGAGGACCGGGGACGGCCGGGCGTCATTGACACTTGACTCAGATGACACACGACGGGCAGGTGACGCAGATTTGTTTGAGTGGCAGGATGGCCTTTGCATCCCCTCAGTTGACACCGAAAGGCTCTTGGCTTGGGATGGGCGTTCTCTTTTGTGGGCTGGGCGATCGTAAATTTGAAAATCGTCAATTTGAAAAGGACCGGTAGTCCTTGAGTCTCAAACCACAGGCTGTATTTTCAAGATTCTTCAATTTGCAAAAACAGGTTCATAACCGTTACTGGCAACTAATTATAGTGTAGTGTGCACTGGCATGACAAGCGGTGGCCTAGAACATCCTAAAACCAATCTTTGTTCCTTTTGCACAGAAGAAAACAACTGATGGTTCAAACGAAGTCACATAGTCCAATACAAAGAGCACAAGATGTGGGTACGGCGCATTATTGAAGGAAAACCAGTTGAGACGGATGCACCTGGAAGGCCAACAATGCGTTCTCGGACCCAAGTTTGATGCCTTTGTGGTCGGGATGGCCAAGAGAGTTTGCTGTTGCAGCTGTGCCCATGAGACATTGAACGTAGTCACAGTCGCTCGCGTTTGACCGTAGGAAGATTGGAGCATACTCAGCTCATCTCAGCTCTCATGTTCAAAACCCACAGAAAATCGATGAACATCGCATCTCGCTTGAAGCCTCAAGAGCTCCATTGAACTGATGCTGTGAGCGCTGCTGAGGACCTGGGCCGGAAACTGCGACGTGGCATCCCTGGATTGACTGGCCGCAACAAAGGATCAATAAAAACTACTAAGGACAAAGATGTATTAGACTATAGACTGGGGTCACCGTCAAACTGGAGGATTTATGATGGTGTGACGGTGTGACTATGAACTCAAGTCTGTCGGTTTGGGGATGGGTTCCACATGTTCTGGAACCGAGTCTTCGTCTCGTTTGCGAGGCCCCTGCAATTTCGAGCCTCCGCAGACGCTGGACTCGGTGCGCAAAACATCGGCCAAACTGGTCGAGTCCAACAGTTGCAGAGAAGTTGGAATTTCAGTGGAATTGTGAATCATGAGAGACCTCCTTTTTGGGTGGAAGTTGCCCAACAAGTTGAAGTTGGACATTGTGAGACTCGTAGGTCACCGTAGGTCCGAAATCACAGCTACTGACCGCTTTGATTGAAGTCTCTAGGTGCTTGAGCCGACAGTGGCGGATGTTCCCGCCTTACGGGTGGCGCGAAATGGCGGGATTTCTTGGTGGGACTTCTGTTGGGTGTGAAAAGCTTCTTGTTTCTAATAGCTTCTTGTTACTACTAGTAAGGCACTTGTTACTAGAAGCGATGCACCTGTTTCTAATATCTTATTTGCAGAGTGTTTTCTGCTTCTGATCAAGCCTCCTCTCCGTCCAAGAGCAGCCAAATCAGATCGGTACACATATTTGCTGCTGTACATATTTGTGGGCTTACACCGGTCCTGCATACGCACTCTGTGACGAGCCACTACTGCCTTCAGCAAATCTGTCAAAAGCATCGACAGCATCAACAACTCATCACCGTCGTGTTCTACCACGCGCACGAACGAAGTCACCCCACCCAGCATGCAAGTGGGGCTAACCCCACCCATTGATCCAGTATTTTGCTTTGGACAGTCTGACGCACCATTAATTCTTCCTTGTAAGATGTGATTGGTTTGATTTGAGAATCACCTCCATGATCTCACAGTTTCGGCTGCGTTTCGATTCCGATTCAACCCTACAAAACAGCCTGTCCAAGGTTTCCGATGATGATTTGCCATTGCTTGAGGCTCGCAGAAGAAAGCATAATACCCTTACCCAAAAGCAACACTTGTCCAAGTCCCTTTGTTCGTAATCATCCGGAGATTTCAGCTTTTGTCAGCGAGTCAGCGCGTGGAAAGTACGGGTGAACCGGAATTAACGTGGGGCGGATTGGGCAGGCAGTTGGTTCAAGGTTGCTCGAGGTTGCTGGTTCTGTTGCACATGAACATAGCATGAAAATGCTTACCAGGCTGTCTTGGATGAAGATGAGAGACCATTGGTACAGGCTGGCGGAAATTTGTTGACAAGCTGTTGGTGTTGCGCACCAATTTTGCTAAGTTGGCAACATGTTCCAAGCTTGCACTGTAATGTCGCAAGCTGCTGCTGTGTGCCCCATCCGCAATGACCAGATCATGGTTGGCTGCCACAATGGCCGCAATGCTAAGCGTTGGGCCACACTTGCGAGGCAGAGCGAGTTGAAGGAGTTGGAGAAGCCGTTGACATCGATGAGGAAGACATGCCATTGATCCAGGACATCGGCTAAGAATGACCAAGAAAGCTCAGCAATCGTTCATTGTTCATTGCTTCTTACTTCTTCAGATGAGTCAGTTTCTCAGGGGGTAATTGTATGTACATTGATTGACCCTGCTGTTATGTTATTACTACACGACTTGCTTCATGGAATCCAAGCACATAATCCAAGCACATAGATTCTGTGCAACCCACATGTCAGGCCAGCGGCGGCCACTGCAAATCGGAGGAAGACATACCTTTGGCACAGGTTTGGATGGTTTGCTTCATTGATTGCAACCCTTTCATGTTCTGGAATGACCCTGCTTAGAAGTGGAATGATGCGGATCCCTTGTTAAAGGCGGGTGACATCAGCTTTTGAGGGCGCACCATGCCTGACCAGGCCTTCTCCGCAGAGAAACGCAAGGCTGGAAAGCAAGGGGTCATGATGGCTGAGACATTTCATGCATGTGAGGAAGATAATTTTGCGGCAATGCAGTGCAGCATGAAGCCATTGAATTGGGTTTTACTGTAATACCGCGAGCATTCATCCACAAAAATAGACACCCAGTTGTTGGGTTGGGCGCCTATCTCAAATGGATGCTGGAACGCTTGATGCTTTGGAGCTCCGGCCAGGTTTGTAAACTTCTTTTTCTTTTCCGCTTGTTCTACCTATCATGCCATTTCAATTGATGGCAGCACTATCGACACTCTGGACGCATAGCGCAAAAACAGAAAACCTAGTGAGCTAGAAAGAGAATGCACCGAATTAAGCATCATACTCACTCAAGGAAAAGTCCCAGGTCTTCAACGTACGCCCTCCACCGTCCAATAGCTTTGCAGCAAAAGACTCAAGCTCAGGGACAGTAAAAAACGGTCTAGCTTCCAAGATAACCCCTCGGGGCAGGGCCCAACCACAGGAGTGGCTTTCGTCGCGGCGGTGTTTCCCGGGGATCCTGGTTTGGCCCGAACAGGCAAAAACGGCGTCAAAGAGTCGCTTTAGAACGCGGACCAGAACGCCAAAAGTGGCATTTTCATCCAGTGAAGCAAACGTGATGTGCAATTTCCACATAGGCCACCGAGGCTGAACTGTCATGCTTCCATTTCAAAGAACTCAAAGAACCGAAAAAGGAGTCTAAGTCATCTGAATCGCATAAGGAAGCAATAACATCTCGAGAATTTGCATGCGGCTTGGGCTGCCACTGGAAACTGCTATCATCACCGGACCAGTCCCAATCTGGAAAGCGAGATTTGTAGTCATTAATGGCAACAGGAGGTAGATTATCTTCCTTGGTCCCCCATCACATTTTGACGACTCCCTCAGAGCCGATTTCTCTATTTAGCCGGACAAGAGCAATTTGGCGGTCTAACACAGAACGTTGCACCTGTGGCCAAAGTCCGGGTTCAACACAAGCATTGTCACGTGCAGCTTGCCTTTTTCATCAGCAAGGCGATTACACCTAATGTACTGTAAAGGCAGATTGAACTTCTCCGCATTTTCTTGTGTAAGAGACTGGAGCGGCACATGGTCACATGTGTGGGCTGGCATCTTTTCCGCTTGTTCTTATTTCATTGATGCTGTTTGTAAATCTATCGCCTCAGATATGCTGTGCATAGTTCACATGCAAGCTATTGCCATTGGTACAAACACGAGGACAGCAGAAGAGCTGTGTTCGCATATGCTGTGTCAAGTGACACCATGAGCTTCGACGCGGATAGAACGGGCACTGCGCAGATCAAAGTTGATCCCCTGAATCCATTTCGGCAGATGAGCTTCCAAGTCTTTAGACTTCAGGTTCAGGATTGGGCTTGTTGCTAGTGTTGTCAATACAAAACACGTATCTCGAAAGCAAACCATGTCAACAGACCCCTTCGTCTGCTGCCTGAGACCTCTGCGCCCCAGGGCGGCTTGTGGTGTCAGGCAACACCGCAGCGCCGGCCCAGGCGACCGGCGAGCGGTCGCTCACGAAGGGAGTGTTTCCATGTGGTTCCGAGTTTTTCTTGTTAACTTGTTAACTAGTGCTATAGGTATAGGCTATAGTATGCTATAGGTCCACTAGTTCCAGCATGTTCTAGGATTCCAGCCACACATCGCATGGAAAGTACCATCGCGCATGCCAATCATTTAGCCGAACCTTTCAAATGCTGCTTTGAAAGCAAAAAAGACAAACAAACACACAATAACGAAGGGGCCCCGTCAGCCGCTAAATGTGCCATTGGAATTTCGACTGCGCTCTTGGACTGTGATCGCAGTACCACCCACTGATAGATCAGTCTCAATCGCCTCAGCTGCTCATAGTCGACTTGTGATTGTCCAGAGGCTGCTTGGGATGCTGGTGGGGTGGCCTGGTCAGAGCATCATCCGAGGCATCGCATAAATTGCCCTTCATGACATGGATCAATGCATTACCTTCGGATGTACTGTAGATTACATGTATATATTTATTTAGATTTATTTAGATGTTTTTCCCCTATTGTTTTTCCTATTTCTCTTATTATTACTATTATTATTGCTTTTCAAAATCTCATGTACTGTGTTGACGCAACGAGGAAACCCTGCACCTTATCCATGACAGAAATGGAGGGCACAGGACGAGGTCGTATGAAGTCGTCATACTGTACGAGCAAATGAACAACTTCCACCACGTTTTCTTTTTTCTTGTAGTGTCAGCATGTGTCAGCAAACGCCCGCTTCTTGCCAAGGGACAGCGGGCGGAACAAAGCGCTCCGCCAGTGAAGAAGCAATTGCTGGAGGAGGCCGCTGTATATTATTCTGTTCATGGTTTGTGGTTAACCCAGGGTGCCCGGTTTGGACCCACAACCATATGATGATTTATGATAATTATATATATATATACAATTTTGATGTTTGATGGCCGCTATCAATCACAGTCACAATATGCTTGTTGGACATCAGAACGCTTCACATATGTTTAGAGGTGAATGCACTGAAAGCATTGCTGGACAAGTCGCAGCTATCCCAAGGCAGGGAAAGTTGCAGTTTTGGGTCTCCCAAAGATCCCTCGGTTACTGTAATAATGATCCCCACCTAGCCATCTCTTGACCGCTGCAGGATCCTGCAGGCTTTCAAACTCCTTGACATTAATTCTTACATGAACCATCCGGACTGTTATGGTATGTTCGTTCTTCTTTCCAAAACTACTAGTCTTCTTTGCCTCTCCACATCACTATCTGTCTTTCTCTCTCCCTCTCTCTTTCTTTTTCTGTGAGCTGTTGAAGCTGTTGGTTCTCAAGGGATACAGAGCTCAGAGCACCTTCCGCCAGTTCGCAGCCTCGATGCGCTGCTTCGCAGCCTACGGGATGTGCGAGCCGCTCTCCAGGCGGTGCCGTCTGAAATGGGAAGAGGCCGAGGTGAAGATGATAAACTATGATAAAAACATTGTGTAAATAATGGGGTCCCTTTTAATAAGGTTCCTATTTTTTTTCAATGTTTAACAGCTATATATATATAGACATGGTTACTCCTATGTCAGAGGAAACGGAAGGGAAGTGCACAGAAAGGGTTTTGCAAACACCTATTCTACATTATTCTACTAACTTTTTGGAAGGTCCGCGACATTCGTGGAACCCAGGGCTATTTGTGGACGTTTCGTGGAGTGGTGGGCCCGTGGGAAAACTAAGCGTAACAAAAGCCCAGCAACCTTCGCAGAACTTCGTGGAAGGTATTTTTGGATAGCTTTGATGCACAAACTTTGTATGAACAGTTTTGCTGACTGCCTTTCTCCACACACCCTCCATTTAGCCTTCACTATGTGCGACCGAATTGAACCTGACGAGACGATGTTCACTATCACGATGTGCATGAGGCTGCTGCGATCAGCCCACCCGCAACATGTGAAGTGGTGTCTCCGGACGAAATCGGTCAGGGCACCAAATCAGCGTTTTTGGGAACTGAAATGAAACCGACGAGTTCACCATGTTCTTTTTTTTGTTCAGGCTTTTTCGCCACAAGTTTGCAGGATTTTCGAGAATCTGCCAGTCTCACATTGAATACCCACCTGTCAATTTTTTGCTTCACGGAGTTCAGTTTTGTGTTTAGAAACTCAAGCAAATGCATTCAAACACTGAATGCCCGTCTCCTCTTCCACAATGTATATATATATATCATATCCTAGTGTATGACTAGGGTGTAGCCCATTACTATTAACAGTCAGTAAAAGACTATGACTATCACTGTTTTTGAGAAAGGCCTCCACTAACCATCATCATCCACTGTTACTGGCAATGGGATAGACCCTATCTGTATGACTGTCAACTACTGCTACTCAATTGCAAAATAGCCTTTTGAAATCCTCTTGGCCTAGAAACGTGTCGGCATGTGCACACCCAAGGTGTACAGAGTCCGAAAGCACCTTTGAGGAGCAGTTCGCGGAGGGGTGCAGTTCATTTTGAGATCGGCTAGCTGCAATGATTCTGAATGTTTGATTCGATGTGATTCGATGTGCTAGCGGACAGGCAGCTTTGCTAATGCCTTCGTATCCTCAAGAAAGCCAAAGACGCTGTCACAGGATCACAGAGCGGCTCAAGGCGACGACAGATTGGGAAGTCTTTGCGCTATCCAAGCTTCTACAGAACATCAATCGAATGATAGACTAGAGAAGAAACAAAACCGCAAGATTTTATGTGAAATGATATTCACGCAGACAATTTTGTTGCATAATTAGTTGCATTTCGTTCTTAGTTGCATTTTGCGGAAGATGTGTGCCTCAATCCTGTTGCTGCAGTGCTTGCATTTCTTCACAACACCTGGTTAAGGGTCTTCGGGAGTCGGCGCAGCTAGGCGGAAATGTATCAGAACAGGATCTGAAAAAATGTCGCGGTGTTTGTTTGAGGATGCAGCTTGCTCAACAATGAGAAAACAGAACATATCCAGTGGTGATGTTCCCTTGAGATGTCATCCATTGATTGCTTATATAATACTGCTTACTTAACGTCTTCGGTTTGCAGCCAGCCCACTCAACAGGTCAGGAAGCCAAAGGCCAAAGCGGAGAAGCGTTTTCCTCGGCCAAAGCGGAGAAGCGTTGTGCATCGATTGTCCTCGCAAGTCAGTTGATGGCGTAACATAAAGATATGGCCCTCCAACTGAATGGTGTTGTCCACAAATAGTACTGGCCAGCACTGAGTCCAATATCGCCTCAGTCTCAACTGAAGCGGCTGAAGCGTAACCCTTAGGGTAAAACTCACTGAGGCGGCTGCAAAGACCAGTCGCGAAGGCTGCCAGGGTAAGGAGCTCAATGAAACACGTTGCACGGCCTGCTATTGACTATTGGAGCCATTTCATAAGGTCTTGAAGCGTTGCGCTACTACGGGTGCACGGTCAACTCCCCCCCATGTTTGCAGAGTCAAGAGACTGGTGCTAAATCGCCTGAACAGGAGCTTCAGGGACATGGAATGATTAGTGAAGATGTATGAAGATGGAAGAGGTTGCAATGCACCAGTTGGTTGGAAAGCTTTTGATTTGCTTGTCATCGATTTGCCGTTTCCAAAGATCGAAGCACTGACATGATACAGTCTGTATATGTTTATAATTATTCTGTTGACTTAGAATTCAATTTGAGCTTGGTCGTGTCACATGATCAACAGACCAAACTCAGCGGACTGAGGGAAAAGCAGCTGCATGCCCAAAGTTTTCTGACCGCGAGCGAGAGGAACAGCTTCTTTGCTCGAGGGCATGTTCGCTTGGGTACAACCGTGTTAGTGTTGATGGCTAATCTCTAAGGAAGACATTGGTTGCCAAACCTTTTGTATTTTGTAGATTGCGCACAGTCGGCTTTTCAGCGCGACCGCATGTTGACCGGTGGACCGCTGAACGACAGATCCGATCGTCGCTTCGCCTCCGGCAGATCCATTTCCATGTCGCCGATTGAGCGAATGCGGCAGAAGTTGTGCCAGCTCCTAGCTGCCCTCCTGTATGCTCCTGCTGTTGTGCTTTAAAACCAAGAACAAATGTTTGCACCAACTTCCGCTGCCTCGTCCCCCTTGAAGAAATGTTTGGGCTGCAAGGATTCATCAGCCTTGATGACCAAGCTTATGGATGCTGCAGACTTCAACTCCAACCAGCAGGGTGCGGCCTGTCATTCATAAACACGGTCGACTCCAAGCTTCGTGCACTGCGATGCTACTTGCCTAACTGAGATGAACAGCTACAATGCTTCCTGAGCGCTTGTACGGCTTGTAGCACTTTCTCAAATCTCCACTCTTCAAAAGAATCCAGAGAATCAATGATAATCAAGCTCCTGGCTGGGCATCGACCTTTCAAGAGACCTGCTGCTTACCGCACTAGAGCAAGGCACGGCGCGAGAGAGACTTTCGTCTGCTCGACAGACTTGACAGGGGGCACGGAGCATTTCAAAAGGCTCGTTGGAGAAGTGCCTTGGAGATATTGGAGATCTCAACTTTAAGCACTAAAGACAGAGCTACTTCAGCAGTGTTGGGACTTGCCCAAAAGAGAATTACATCAGCGAAGATAAACAAGTCCGACAAGTCCCGAAAGTTCTTCAGTTTTTCATGGCTGGAACATCCTGGAAAACGAACACTTGAACTCAGATGAACTTAGTGAACTCACGCGAATGGCTATTAGGTGGAAGCGAAATGGAACTTCCATGTCTCTTCTTCTTTCTTGAAATGCACGGACCGTGAGGCCAAGAAGCTTGCACCTGCTGAGAAGCGGCCATTGCTCGAGGAGGCCACGGTTTTTGACCACACCCAAATAGATAGAAGTTTGTAGATCACTACTGTAAAATGCATCGGAGACCGTGCCACTATCTATTTGGGGACCACAAAAAATCCTGCCACGGGGTGATTTTTGGAAGTGCTTGGAACTGCTACTGTTTGCTACCAGTACTGTGGCACAGATTGGACTCCGAGGCTTTCGACTCGTCGTTCTCAAGGGCAGACTCGGGGCCATCAGTCCATGTCAGACTCGGAGAGACCCAGAAAACTGTTGACGGCCAAAAAGTCGTACACGCGACCCTGCTGGATGACAACCTGAAAGGGATTATAGACCAACGGGTCGTGAACAAGAGATTCAATCACACAAGGCAACGCCCTTTTAAAGGTGACTTTACCTTCGATTCGTTTTGTTCATCTCGATTTCTTGAAGACACCAGTTACCGACTCCAGGTACTGCAGAAGCACTTTCTGGCCAAAACTCCAGGGAGGCATCGGGAACGCCTTCGGAAGATTATCTTGGAGTGGAAGGCGCGGTTTTCTGCAGTGCAGACAGGACTCCTTGGACCATTTGGAGATGGGACCAAATTACACAAATTATTAGAAATGGGCTGCCATGTGCTTTGCTGGAGGCTGAAGGACTTTGATGGGGTTGTTGAGATAGAGCTCAACAGGCCAGGAGTTTGTAAGAGCTTGGAGTATCTTGGAGCTAAGTTTGTGGTCAGTGTTGGACTTGTATAGGGCCTAGGCATGCCTAGGCGGCCTACAGCTATAATATATATATATATGTGTTGTTAAAACTGTTTAAGATCTATTTGTGAGATGCTGTTTGATCTCGATCATAGCAATGAAGTCTTTGAAGCAGGAAGGAGGCGACCCGAGACCATAAAGTACAAAATAGTAGGAACTGGATAGGTCTATTCAATTATTGTTCAACTTCTAAGCATTGTATAGCGTTGTATCAAGGCCAGCTGGTAGTTCATTGGTAAAACTATGTAAAACTAGTGTGAGGGTGGAGTTACGAAGCCAGGCAATGAACAAGCGTGACTGAGCAGCAAATGATTCAGGAGGGGCGTGATTTGCTGAGTCAGGAAAATGCCCTGCTGCTGATTTCAAGTCTGCTCTCTATTTTGGTTGTCAAGCTTTGCTCGACTTGAATTCTGGCCGTAAAGGGAGGGGAGTGCTTTCATCAAACATGCACAAAAAACATCAATCAATATCAAAATGCTGGCTGACTTCATCACTGCCTGAGAAAGGATGTTTGGCAAATCCCCTGTGCAGCAACTCCATTGAAAAGCTGGACAATCTTGTTTCTTATTCATCAACTGTTTTGTTGTTCAGAGTACAACCCTTGCGCGACCATGCGGTGGAAGGATCATCAATGGTTGAAAGGTATTCTGGGTCACCAGCGCTCCAGAAGGGCATGCCATGGAGCACGAATTTGCAATTCTTGTTTAATGACACCTTTCTGCAAACGTTGCGAGCATCGCCCATATGTTGAGAGTTTGACGGTCTGAGGCTGTGTCAACACTGCATCCGCATGGCCGCGTGAACATATTAGGCCCAAGCCATTTTTAAGCCCACTGTGTGTTGGATTTGAGTGGGGGCATTGGGGGCGTTGCCAATCCAGAGCCATACCCAGCCTTCATGGAAAACAAGCTACAGACAAGGGCCAGAGGCACAAGACAACATGAGGTAATCTCACATGGATCAGTTTGGCGACACTAGACTAGGTTATCAGTTTGCCATGGCAACCACGGTGTCCTGTTGCAGTAGTTTTCAAGCACCTTCGAGATGAGATATGATGATGTCCAGTTTTGGATCTCACCAGTGGCTCTCTGCTGAGCTTGGTACAAGGCGCAAATTGATTTATGGCTGCCCTGGCACAGCTAACATTCTACCAAATTATACCACCATTGAATGGACCTAGGCTTGCTTGGAATCGCAACCTTTTGTGCTGTGGCGAAAGTAAAACACCCTCGCATGACACTGGGTATATATAATATATATATATATAAGTTACAAGTCGCTTCGTTTCGTAAAGTGACTCTTTTTTAACCCTCAGCCCCTGCTACAATACTATGCTCTAGATCCATACTTGACACACATATTCTTCAGATACAGTACTGTAGCAAAAAGACACTTTTGCGGCAGGCCACATCCTGTGCCATTGCTGCTGCTTCTATGTATCTGTTTTTCTGTGGCAGCCCATGAGCGCGCCCCAACTGCAGGGTAGTTGACCACATGAAAACTAGATGGTATTGACACCATTCTTCGCATTGGTCTCTCAACAGATTCACAAATTGAGGTCTCCTCCAAGATGAGGCAGGAGAAACCGATCCTGTTGATTGGAACAAGTGGCTCCATGCACGCAGGGACTCCATTAACATGTGTGGGGCTCGAAAATTGCATTGTAGCAACTCTTTCTGGCTTAATTAAACTGGTTCCAAACTCAAACTTCAACGGCTTGCCGACCCTCTATCCCTGCATTGTCATTTCTTGTTCAGTGCTTGTGTACGTTCAGAGATGAGCAGTGGTGTATTTGTTGTGCTCACCAAGCGGTGTCAGGTTGTGCCTGAGATTGAATTTGACGTCAAACCCACCGACATCCAACGAACTGGACGTCGGGTGGTGGTATCAGGTTGGTTCTATGTCAGAGGTGACTTGGTCGAATTTTCTTTGAATCAGAACTCCTGAATCCATCAAACATCCTGCGTGAAAACGTCAACCTTGTTTTCACAAACTTGATTGTGATGTGTTCAGATTCTCAAATTCATCTCTCCCATCCTGAACTTCGCACTTTGAAGGTTAAGACGGTTAAGGGTGATTGATTGGTTGTGTGATTGAATCTCAATATTTGTTTGTAGCCCGATTCGGACCAGCTCCATGCGAGCGCGCGAGCGCGTTTGCTGATTTGTGTTTGAGATGTGCGACGGCTGAGGTGAGTTTACTTTGGGTTCCTTGGGAGATGTTGCCTTTGCCAGCCGACAGATGCTGAGCAACATCTGCGACAACAATTTGCCGGCCCTCGCGCTCGCAAGGCCGGGGTGGGTTTTTCAAAAAACCGTACAGATTGATCTCAAAAAGATCAACAAGCGGGTTCCCCATGACACCCTTAAATCGTCCGCGTATGTATCCCAAGTCACGCAGTGTGACAAGCTCTTTTCTCAACGGAGCTCCGTTTGGAACACTTTTGATGGTCCTTTTGTGACTGGGATTATTATAACTGTGAAACAAAAGCAGCCCCCCTTCGAGTGGGTGAGCCACATTTCCCTGATGACAACGTGAAAAAAAAATACTGTTGCAAAGTTGAACGGTTGTTGACAGATGTCAGCCAAGCGCATTGTATAGACAAACTTTGCTCAGCCAAGCCATTCCTTGCTGTGTCTTTTTATAATATAGATGAATATAATATATATACATGTTTTTAACAGGCTACCGCCACCCCCTAACCGCGTAAATAGAAGGATGGGGAGGGAGAGCGTGTGAAGGCTGCACAGAAGCAGGTTCAGTGGGCTGTATAGAAGGGGAGTGTGGTCGAACTGCAGAGCGTTGCCCATGGTGTAGTGTGTCTTTATGCCCAACTGAGAGAAACTGGGCTGCAGTGGGCATAGATGAAGTAGCAGAGGGTGTATGACGCTGTTGGGTGAAAGAGCCCTGCCCATAGTGGTGTGCAGGAAGTCGCATGGTGAGAAGGCACTGCGGTTCAACGCAGCCGTGTCAATGTGAAGGTGCATAAGAGGATGCGTGCCAGCGTTCCCCAACAGTGTGGTGAGAAAGCACTTGTGCTTGACCCGCATCAACGGCGCTGCTTGTGTGGCAGCTCTTTAGTGCATATTAGGTCAGTGCTGAGAAAGGGTCTAGCAGTATTCTGAAGATGCTTGATGGTCTACACACCTTAAAAGGCCATTTGGGAAAGTGCTTGTGTCGGGAGGGTGCCCCGGGACCCGGTAAGAAAGAAAAGAAGACGACCACCATCGCAGGTCCGATGACAGATCGGATGGCAGATCCGGCGCCAAGCCAGTCTCCGGAAGGGTAGGGATGAAGCCATCGACCACGCCGACCCCATTCATCCTACACACATACTCATACGATTCCGCATGGCTGAGTGGGTTCAGCAGATATGTAATTAATGACCTTCAGAGTCAAACACACAGACACACACACACACACAAACAGCGTGGAAAGTGCAAACACGCAGGCAAGATATCCTCACTGTTAATCAGCCTACAGTGGGTCCGGATCCTCAGTTTCTGATGGTGGCAACGACATGACGTCTTCGCAGGGTTTTGTTGCGCAGCTTTGCTCTTGTCAGTTGTTCGTCGGCCGAAGAGGACTGAACATGAGCTTCTACGTCCTCCCACCAGAAGGAGCTTTCTCAGTTGTGGGACGGTGTTTTTGAGTTCCCAGTTGAGAGTCTGAGGTTTGGCACACCTTGCAAGCGCCACGTAGGTAGTCAAACAGAAAATACATGGGTTTTCAGCAACAACACGCTGAAAAGGCGAGTCCTTTCTGTTCACCCAGAAAGTTATCGCTTGCCACATTTTCTGCCTGTCTCTCTGGAGGATGGGCCCACTATTGTGTGGCGATGTTGCGCTTTGCGGGCTTTGGCCCCACCCAGCCACCCTTCACCACAGTGCCGGCTCCGCCAATACGGGGCTTGTTGGAGGCGGCATTGCTCCTGGTAGTGAATTCAAGACCATGTCCTTTTGACCAATCACATGAATGGAGAGGCAAAGCACGGCAAAACCGGGTGGCCGATTTGGCTTTCGGATTGGAGCACAAACAAGAGCTCTCACATTTTGGTGGTTATATAGACATGGCTAGACTGATCGTCAAGGAGGTGATAGGAGGCCTTTCCAAACAAGAGCAATACCTTCTGGGTTTACCTCCGCTTTTGGGAGGCCTCAATCGCTCAGAACACCGGATTTAATGAGCGCTTGATGGAGTCCTGGGTCATTGACATCGGGAAGCTCGGCTGTTTTGATTGTGGTCGCATTATCAGCATTAAATAAATCTAAAGATATTTATATTATACAGCAGAATTATGGGGAGGCCTCACATGGCATGTGACTTTCCTTTGTGCAATCTTAGACATGCAGTAGATGATCATCATTAGGAAATTGTTGCCATATTGAGGAATGTGAATTGTGGTGAGATGGCGATCTCCTATGGCGAAGCTGATAGTCCTGCCTTGCTCCTGGAACGAAGCAGAATGCCCCAAGAATGGCTTGGCCGAGAGGAACCGGCTCCCTGTGGATCGATCGAAGCCAAATGGTCTGCTGCCTCATCCGCCACTTGCAGCGCATGAGCTCCGGGACGACCAAAGGAACATGATCATGCTGAAGCTGTTCCAACTCAACTGGATCAGAGCGTCTACCCTTTTTCTACGGTACGTATGGCTACCTGAAGGGTGTTCCATTCTCAAGCTTCGGTCTGATCTAGTTTAGTGTGGAGTGGGTGAACTTCGTACCAAGCCCAGGTCCAGTTTCCATGGGAGGAGCCGTCCGTTGGTGGAGTTTTTGCGTGGGAAGCATGACCGGTTGTCTCAAACAAAGATAAGACAGAAGAGAATGAAGTGTGATGCATTTGCATTCCAGTTGTCTGAGGATGAGGTGTCGTGCTGTAGGAGAATGCATCGCCTTACATATGGATGGACACAAACGTGAAAGAGCCAGAATGCAGTGACAGCATCCAAGAAACAAGTGCACTACACAATATTAATGGAAATAAGCTGGGCCACTGGACGGAGACGAGACCAATGCAATGGGAAGACAGTCACAAAATCCTTCGCATGTTCGGCAGTCACAAAACTCAAAAGGAGTGAGTAGACAGGCAGTACCTGAACCCACGGATCATAGCAGTGGATCTATTCAGCGTACGGCTTTGATAAACCGCAAGGCTACTTACGGCACAAACAACGGCCAGATTTCTAGGGGCTGTTTCATCGGGGACGACAAAACACTTGCACATAATCCGTACCTCCTTCAATCTTTCCCTTGTAATTTGTTTTGATGACAAAAATATTAGTAACCGGTTCGATGCTCTTCCAATTGGTTGATGGCTTCCTTCGTTTGTGGGGTGTGGCACGGCCTGGTTTGCCAAGCAACGACGGTGCGAGAAATTGTTTTCGCTGTTCAGCTGATTCAGCTGCCATTGTTTTGTGTGGTTCCGGTGCAGGAGGAGCCTTGCTTATCTGCGGCAAGTCCATGTATATGCGCATCAATCCGAACTTGCAGAGACTTGGCAAGAAGAAATAGGACGCCATCAAAAAGAGTGTTACGCGGTTTGTTTTCACCTGGAATGGTGGATTGCCACCGGACCTGCATCCATGCACGCCGTTTTTCGCCGTGGCCTATAATATGCGGACGGTCTCTTACAGGGGGATTGTTGGAGTCCCCTGAAGTGCGCTTGGTCTCCATGGGTTTCCGGTGTCCAGTTCTTCAGCAAATGTCATTGATGTCATGCCGCTCCAGTCCTCCAGTCAAGTGTTTGATTTGTTTGACAGATCAGATACTTGCACGTTCCAGTCATTTGTTTGCTCTCAGGATACTTGCCTGTGCCTGGTGGCGGGAAGCGCTGTACGACTGGTGGCCTGGCGCCAGTGCTGGCCCGGCGTGAGGATTGATTTGGAAGGGCGGCAGCCGGGCAACACACAGTAATGACATGCAGACTCTTGATTAATAAACCATAACAAACCCACCCCATTTGGATGCACGGACTTGCGGTTCGACGCGCTCACAACCGCCCTTTGTCAGAACTGTCACCTAATGTGACGGGTACAGGTGGGTTTGGCATGTACACTGTGGGACAATGGCAATTGCAAAAACTGAATTGGATCCCTTCTTGAGATGACTGAGAAAAGAGTAATTATGTGAGATCCTACCCATTCAAGACTAAATGAACTGCTACCAGACGCCCACTATGTGAAGCTTACAAAGACACCTCAGCGTCGCGCAGCGACTGGGTCGTATACAGCGAAGGAAAAAGACGAGAAGGCAGGATCGTGAACTCATGGGAACTCGCCACTGCGCTGCTTGCTATGACGAAATATGAAACATCAATTTGACGAGTCGTTGGCTCAGGCCGATGTCGATATGTAAGTGCCTTTTGGCCACATGGGACTTCAAAAGTCACCAGAAGAGTCTTCAGAAAAATTCGCCACCAAGCACGACTTTCAGATCGCAATTTTCGGTAAAAGCTCGAGTTGGGAACCTCCCAAGACCTTTTGAGAGTCGAGTGAGTCTATTTCCAAGCCTTACAACTCGACAAAGCAAAAAGGAACTCCAAGAGACGATACTATCACAGCGACTACACCATCTTGGCTTCGTCTTCCCACTCTGCTAAAATCAGGCGTTTCCTGGAGAAAACATGCCTTGCTCATCTCTTGACAGACTTCTGGACGCTTGGCGTATGTCACTAAATGAGTCGAACACATTCCAAGGTTGGTCTCTGCTATGCACAGCTATCCCCTAGAGTTGGATGTGACCACTGGGGTGTCAGCTTCTCGGGTCAAGTGAATGAATTTAGCGTTCAGTTTAGCTGATCTGATCCGTGAAGCCCGATACTGGTCCACTCCGGGGACTGCGTCGTGTCCTTGGGGCTTGGGTGCATTCCTGATTCTCCTTGCCTTCCTCATTGGAATTTGCTGCGGGGGCTGTGCTGTAGGCTGCATCCTCTCGAGGGGCTGTCAGCGGCTTGGTTTCTTGGTGGCGCGGCTTGGAGCTGCATATCTGGGGCCCGTTCCTCCCTCTGTGCCTCCCTCTGTGCAACAGAGGCTTGCTGAATACCGTCGGGACCTTTGACGAAAACACCGTGGTGCGAGGAGTGGGGTCAAACCTCCAGCGACCTGAGGTAGCTATCCAGGCCCGAGTGTCATCGACGCCTTGCAGGAACTCCCCTTAGCCTCTTTCGTTGCCCAACTGCCTCTAAGGTTTTTGGGCTGCTCATTGGCACCAACGTTCGGACTTCGATAGGACCTGTGTGTGCCAAGCCTTTCCCACTCGGACAGAGGGAGACGCTTGATGACCTCTAGCTCTTCAGGGCTCAAAGGGCCTCCCTTGACCTGGGAGGAGGTCGTTGGCTTTGTTCGTGGAGTCGACGAGAGGTCAGTGCTCAGTCTCACATCAATATGGATCCCTTTAGAGGCCGAAGATTTCCAGAGTGCTGGTTCAGTCGCAGTAGGTGCATGTTTTCCCATTTTGGTTCGTTCGCGTGGCCTTATGCTTTTGATCCCAAAGAGCGACGAGATTCAGACTGCCATTTTGCATGCCAGTTCAGAGAGTCAGGTGGAACCTGTTTTCTGGGACAGCGAGGTGACTGTAGTGTCTTCGCGCAGCAAAGTTTTGGGCCTGGCCGAATGTCAACTAGTAGATTTAGGATGGGAAGCCATCAGCAGTTTCTTCAAGTCCACCGTGCTCAGAGGAGCGGCTGCGCGAAATACTCGTGTGGTCCATTTCCAGGTTGGAGACCAGTCAGGTCGTCCATCCGCATCTTCAGCCTTGCGACTAGCAGAAACCTGGTTGGGAGAGGGGGCTGGTTTGGACGCCGAGGTGACTGCCGACTATCACACAGGAGTGGAGTACGAGGAGTCAGATGTGCCTTCCCCGTCTCTTGCTGCAAATGGGGATCAGGGCGAGGTTGCCCAGCTGAAAGAGCGCATGCGCGCTTTGGAAGCAGAGTTGGCTCGTGCCCGCCAGCCAGTCATTCCGCCAAGACCTTCCACCGTCCCCTTGCTGCCAGGAGCCAAGCATGGAGCAGAACAACGCTTGTTTGGAACCCAGCCTGCCTCATCAGGACTCAATTCCGAGGAATTGATGAAGTTGCAACAGTTGGCCGGCACTCCGCCGGGTCGTTTAGGAGCAGCAGTTCAGCGTCAATCCTTAACAGATGTATCCAATGCTAGAGGGTCTCCATGCAGAGGCCGAGAAGGGTGTCATCGAAGATCCAGCATTGCCAGGACCGGAGTGGGACTTGGGACCGGAGTTGGTTGCAGACCCCATTCAACGGATGTTGCTTCAGATGAAGCAGAACTCTGTTTTGATGCAACGCATGATGGCGCCCAAAGATCCAATGTCTACCCTGCTAAGCGGAGGGGGCAGCGAGTCCGGAAACAACTCCGGAAGTGCCAGAGGGTGCATGGCCAGAGACATGTACCTGAGGACAGTTCAGGATCTTCCCAAGGTCGGAGAAGTCGCTCGGTTGAATGCCATGCAGGAATTGGGCATCTCGATGGACAAGGAAGACAAGGACCTGATGCATCTCTACATAGAGCGGCGAGTCCCCTTGGCCGAAAACAAGATGTTAGCCCATTTTGCCGTTCTCGCAGCAGAAGGGTGGTCGATAGCTCATGTTGCCCAGGATCCCATCATGAAAGGGTTCATTGCCAGGATGCTGTTTTTCATAGAGCAGAGTGCCTTGGACAACTCCAGACTGGAGTTGGGGTGGCTGATGTCAGGGTTCCCAGAACCAAACACTCATCTGCACTTCTCGGTAAAGGGGACCCCAGGGTTGAAGCCCTTTACCCGGCTTGCCCCGCTTTGTGGGTGTCGGCGAATCTGGCCTTCCTCAAGGACCTCGACTACATCGAAGGCAGAATTCAGACTCTTGGAAAACCAAAAGGCAAGCAGACCAGTGCCGGCTCGGAACTCGAAGACGGGCCAAAACCCAAACCGAAACCAAAGGGCAAGAAGGGCAAGAAGGGATCCGGGAAGGATGGGGACAGTGCAGACGCAGCTGCCAGTTGAGGGTTTGCGCGCCCGGAGAGCCTCAGTCTTTGAGTGAATGTATGAGCCAGCCGGCTGCTTTGGGACATTGCAGTGCCTTGGATCGTACTGAGGTTTCATTCGTAAGACATGGTAAAACCGATAAACGTGTAAACAGTCTTGATTACCATTGTGCCAGCTGCATCCCGCGCCGTGCCGGTAGCGATTCTCCCGCGCTTGGGCCAGTAGCAGCGCCAGTTGAATTTCTTCTGCCTGTAAGCCTGCCTGCCGTTCCGCCGCGAGCATGCTTATCCCATCAGCCTAATCATGTTTCAGGTCTGGCAGGCTTGGGTGAACATGAAGTCATTTCTGCCACAATAGGTGAGTGTGAAACCTCTACAAACACCTACAGCTCTACAGACCTGCGTGCAACACAGCGGGCAAAGCAAGACAGTTTCATACTGCCTACGGTTAACAAATCTAGTTCTTCCCCGAACAAGCCCCTTGCTAGCAGTAGCCAGACGCCTGCCGCGTCGAGTTCGGTTGAGTTTTTTGATCCATATAATTTGATGCAAGATTTTAATAGGGACTTCCTTAGCTCACGGACTGCGCTCAGCCAGTTTTGTAGGAAGAGCCTTGTTTTGCAATCCGTCTCCAATGTGCAGTCCTCTGCAAAGAGGACGTTGTGGCCTGTCCCTCTGCCCAGGTGGAGTTGGACGGCGTGCAAACACCTTGGACCCAGGAGACGCAAGCGGAAGCGTCAGCTGCAAACACGACACAGAGCTGTGCAGTTGGTGATAGCTTGTTTGAACTGGGAGACCTTGGGCCATGTGAGTGAGCCGCCGCCTGAGGCTTGCTTAGGACACCCCATTTCCAATGTTCAACATTTGATTATTGAACATATTGAAAGCTTAGTGGAGCATCATCTGTCTGCCGATGCCTTCACTGGGGATGATTTGGGTCGTTTCCAAGAAAAGTACCAAGGTGTAATTAAGCTTTTGCAGGAAGTACCGTCATGTCGATTGGCGGGTGAGGACCTCGAGCAGAGTTTAATACAACTGCATGCCGAACTGGACCCCTATTCCAGCCATTTTGGTAAAAGAGGTCCTTACAAAGAAAATGAGTCGCCCAAATCAGACCACCAATGTCCTGTCGACCGCTCGGAGCCGTTACCTATGTCAGGGGCTCGACCTGTCGTTTCATCAAGGATCAAGTGGCAGTTCCCACCAAGTTTCGAAGCTAGTGCTTTTTTGGATGATCCAGTCGTAAAAGCTGCTTTTGATGATCCGGAAGTCATGCGTAAGCCTGAGCAGTTTTGGGAATCCTCTAGGCCTGCAAAGATAAACTGTAGGTCTGAGCTGCTGGATCTTGCACAGAGATGGGACGACTTTGGAGCGTTGAGACTTATGCCTGCAGACCAAAAGCAGTGGGACGAAGCTGTAGGGATGTTTGCTGTAGGTAAGGATTCGCAATTCGATCGCCTCATTATTAACTCTCAGAACCTCAATGGTAAAATGTGGACTGTTAGCGAGTCACTCAAGACCCTCGCCCCTGGTTGTATGCTAGGCCTCTTACATTTGGAACCTTGGGAAGCTTTTCGGTTTTCCGCTGATGATCTTTCGGACTTCTACTACACCTTTCGGGTGAGTGAAAATAGGGCTAGGAGAAACGCCTTTCGCATGAAGTTTGAACCTCATGAACTTGAGCACCTGAAATGCTTCAAGGAGGAGCATGCCAAGCACTCTCATTTGTTGCTTTGTCTTTCAACTCTTGCTATGGGTGACAACCTTGCAGTTGAAATTGCGCAACAAGCGCATGGGAATGTCCTTAAGTTCTTGTGTGGTTCCATGAAAGATGAGGAAACCCTTAAGTATAGGCACCCGGTCCCTAGAGGTAGTTTTATCGAGCTCTTGGCTATTGATGATCACGTTGGCCTTCAGAGATTACCGATAAAAGACATCCCAGAGGAGCCTCCACTTCGAGACACCGAGATTTTCCAGTTAGCTTCAAAGGCTTATAGATCCGTTGGTCTTGTGCAGCAGAGTAAGAAACAAAAACGAAACTGCACTCAAGGGATCATTCTAGGAGCTGACTTTGATGGGTTAAAGGGTCGAGTGATGGCACCCCGAAGCCGCGTGCTGTTGTTGTCTGCCATTTCACTTGCCATAGTTTCCAAACGCACTTGCGCACGAAGGCTGTTAAATTTGGTGGTTGGGCGCTGGATTCATGTTCTCCTTTTCAGACGTGTTCTGTTTTCAATCATAGACTCGCTTTTCACTGATGGTATGGAGAAGAAGCTTGACCAGGTGTTTTGTTTGAAAAGACAGTCTCTGAATGAGCTTCAAGTTCTGGCCGTATTGGGCCCTACAGCTCAGTGTGATTTGAGAGTTGGATACTGCAGTGATATCTTTTTGCATGGACGCAAGTCCTACTGGAGGGGCTGTTGTTCGCGCCGAAGTTGGGGCTGCAGTGACTCAAGAAGTATGGCGTCACACAGAGCAGAAAGGTTTCCACACACGTTTGCAGAGTCCTGTGTCCCAAATCCTTTCAGAGCATGGTATCGAGCCCGATTCCATGCACATGTTTCAAGATCATTTGAAGAGTAATGGACCCCAAGTGGAAGTTCCCCTCAGCCTCAGAGAAGGTTTCGTTTTCGATTGTATTGAGTTTTTTCGGGGAGCCGGAGAATTGGTCTCTCGCTCATGAGCGCAATGGATTGCGCGTGCATGATGGGATTGATGTTGATGGGCGCTGTCTTAGGGTCAGCGACATCACCTGCGATGCGGTCTTCAGAGAGCTGGCAGCATTGGCGTGTAGAGGTGTCGTCAGAGACTGGCACGCTGCAGTGCCTTGCCCGTCTTTCGGCACTTTGAGACGGCCCCGAGTAAGGTCTAAGGAAATCCCGTTCGGCTTTGATCCCTCAGACCCCTACACAGCCTATCACAATAAGATAGCTCAGCGGGTGGGCATATTACTGATTTTGGCACTGAAGTATGGTTCCTTTGTCAGTATTGAGCAGCCTCGAAACAGCTGCTTGTTTTTGCTGAACGTGTTTCAAACCTTGATTCGTTTGGGCTGCGTAATCACTCATTTCGCATTTTGCTGTTTTGGTAGTGGATTTCACAAGCCTTCCAAGTGGCTTCACAACAAGCCATGGCTAGTGCCATTGCAGAGCTCCTGTTCGTGTCCCTATAAAGGAAATCACTTTGTAGTCGAAGGTACTTTCACAGAGGCGAGCATCAAGGATTTCAACGAAAGGTGTAGACCAGGTATTGAATCTGTGTATGAAACCATGCCGCAACCCGGAGAACGGGTTTCTGACTTCTCAGCTGTCTAGGTGCAAGCGATGGCAGTGGGCAGCAAAGAAGCAGCTCGATCGGGCGTTTCCCCTGTGCCGGCTAGCGCCGTGGCATCCTCTGCACTTGAAGTCGGCCTTACGCTAGATGAGATTTCAGCTGTGCCTTTGCCTGAGCCTCCATACCCGTCGCGTCCCTGGTACGAGGACCCTGAATGGATAGGCGAAATATGTGAGTCTTTGCCATTTCGTGAGGTTTTTAGATTCAATTTTGTGAAACCCGGCCATATCAATGTAAACGAGACACGCACTTATAAGTCCTGCATTAAACACATGGCCAAATCTTCGAGAGATTCCCGATTTGTTGGATTGCTTGATTCCAGAGTGACTTTGGGGGCCAGTGCCAAGGGCCGCTCTAGTTCATTTTCAATTAGCAGGGTTCTGCAAGGTAGCATTGCGTATATCATTGGAGGTAATCTGTACCCGGGTGGTTTGCATTGCTATTCAGCTTCCAACAAAGCTGACGGCCCCTCCAGAGGCCGCCCTTTGGCCCCCCCGACGAAGGACAAGCCGGCCTGGCTTGCTCAACTGGCAGATGGTGACTCTAGAGCGTTCGACATAGTAGTGAATTCTTCCAGAGTGGCCCGTGTTCCAGGAAGGTGGATCCGTTTTATTTTGTTAATCCTAGCCGGTGACATAGAATTGAATCCAGGGCCTTCGGGTCCACGCGCAAAGCCACGAGTTTTGCATCCTCGAGGGGCTTTGGATTTGACAGTGGGTTTTGCTCCTGAGACAGCCTCTCGCATGCGGCAGTGCGCGCAAGCTTTTGCTGAATGGGTGAAAGATACTTGCGGATTAGATTTCGATAGACTAGTGCAAGACCCTTTGGCTGTTGGATGGGCTCTGAGGGCCTACGGTGTGCAACTCTTTGAAAGGGGCTTACCTAGTAGGTACTTATTCGTTTATGCAATTACAGGGGTGGCCGAGCAATTTCCTCAGTGCAAATCGTCTTTGACCTTAGCCTGGCAAATCGACCGAAAGTGGCAGATCCATGAACCAGGTCAGTGCAGGGCTGTCCTTCCAGGGATAGCTATTCGAACTGCAGTCACAGTTGCAACATTTTGGGGCTGGCGTGTTTGGGTGGGCATCGTACTGCTGGGTTTTGCAGCAATGCTTCATCCGAGCGAGATGATCGCCCTCACAAGAAAAGATTTGGTTTTTCCCAAAGATGTTTGCTTTGATATGACCTGCCTCTATATTCATCTGCAGAATCCAAAGACAGCTAGATTTGCTAGACGTCAGCACGGCCGAATAGATGATGCTCAGATTATCCATTTGGCAGAGCAGATCTTTGGCGACTTCCCTTTGCACTGCCGATTGTACAATGGTTCCATCAGCCTTTTCAGAAAACAGTGGGACGCCGTCATGGCCCACCTAGGTATACCCCACCGACAAGCTCAGCGCGGAGCAACTCCGGCCTCGCTGCGCAGCAGCGGGGCGACTTTTCTCTATGGCCGCACCGAAGATGTTCCTTGGATTGCATGGAGGGGCCGATGGGCTCGAGTGAAAACCCTCGAGTTTTATCTTCAAGAGGTTAGCGCCCAGCTTCTTTTGCACGAGCTGCCTAAGAGAAACCGCGTGCTAGTGCACACACTTGGTGATGCTGCGTGGCCGATCCTATGCGAGCGCTGGCATCTAACCGAGCGCTACCCTGAATTTTACGGAGCTTGCAGCGCAGAAACTGAGAAGCGGAAGTGAGAAGCTGGCCTGTTTAGAGTGGTGACATCACCTGTGCA